CATTTTTGTGAACAATAAGAAGCAAATAGAAAGACTTTGAAAAACAGAACAAAAACACAAAATTTTATACAAATCTTGGCGCTACAATTCTTGGCACATCTTTCAAACCCATCAACAAATTTTGACAAGGCGTGATTTTGAGAGTTTTTGACTTATCATTAGTTTTAGTGGTGACAAAATATTTATTACACATCAAAATTAATCAACAATAATAGACATATCAGCTACTTCATCTGCTTCTAAAACACTTATTTGTTATGTTCTGCTGCACATTCTTGTGTCTCTTGTGTTCTCTAACACTCAACGATTGGTAATGTTGATTCACTAACCACCTCTTTTAATTGCGTTTATCATTTGTCATAAAGAACTTCATTTGAAAGTACAGGCTACTATATAAATTGCTTATTGTACAATTATGGGGCCACAATGAATTATTTTGGGACTAGTTGTCCAAAAACGTTGATAACAATTTGAATTATTTTGGGTAAATCCGCCGAAACAACATTACAATTATTTTTCTTTCCTCAAATCCGCATAAATAAGTTTAACAACCTTTAAAATAAACTATTACTTCCAGATCGACTATATTGATACTGTAGATTTTAAGTGGTTAAGCTGTAATGATAAAATGTTGCCCATATGGAGTTCTTTATATCTGTTACTGAATCACAAGGTCGACTTCAATTTATAATCATGACTCTCTACATTTTCTTTCATATTTATTTTTGAACATGGTCAATTTATGTTCGTTAATGTCTATGCAAAGCATGATTTCAAAGTTCCATGTAAAGTTTTAGAAGGACGAAACATGTTAACAACAGCAATCATTTTCATATTAAAAGCAGAAATGTGGTATGGTTTACGGTATATTTGAGGTATATCCTTTTTATCTTAAACATTTCAGATTCAGCAACATCAACAGCTTTGCCAATATGAAAACCATAAAATGAAAGCTTTTCTAAAGAGATCGTAGCGTACAAGCTACACACTAGTGTATTTGTTAACAAAAAGATCATAATGCTACAAAATATTATGTACTGCCTTAGAAAAGTTCCCGGGCTTGAAGATTTCGAATTTACATCACTATCGCAAGTTTTGCTTTTTAGAAATGTTGTAACTAACGAAACATAGCAAGATAAACTTCCGGATTTTATTAAGTTATTATACCATTCATTATATTTATATTGTATTCTCTTCCTGACATTTTCAGGTTGAAGTGTTATTTCCATTTTTACTGCCCACATTTTTGGTACTTCCTAAAGCAGCATATAAATGTTATCAGTCAAATTATTTCGTTAACAAACTTTAATCCGTAACTGAAATCGCAAGTCGTTTTAAAGCAGCATCTCAATTTTAATTAGACTTCAATAAAATTTTCAATAAATATTCCACCATTATAAAACTTTGCAAGCAATCAGACTTCTTCACCTTTTATTATCTATCAACTTTATCAAAGCAAATATTTTAGGTATTTTTAATCAATTTTATTTTTATAAATTGTGGTCGTTTTGCTAATTTTGTCAGTTAACCTAATTAATTCTGCAAATATTTACAGATTTTTCTTAATAAATCATTTTTTAAGTTTTTCTGCGTTTCCATAAATATTTGCATTATATTATCAGATATTAGAAAATTTAGAAGCGATTCTTCGAAGTTTATTATTACTTCCTAATTTTATGTGGTTATGACAATTTTTTTTTTTTTATATTTGCAGCTTTTTCTTAACTTCTTTAAGTTCTAGCAGATATTTGCTAAATTTTACAGAAGATCCTAAAAAACTAGTCTTTATCAAAACATAATTGGTCCCTGTAATACCATCGTGGTTATGGACAGAACGCAATACTGGATACCAGATATATACTGGAGATCTAAAATAAACATGGCCAGAATAGTTACGAAGAGAACCCATCATACAGACTCATACATTAAAGATTCCACACACATTGAGAATTAATCAGCTTCATTTTGTGTATTCACTCCCTGTTGTAGAGTTATTTCAGCTAGAAAGGCCAATTCTATGAGCAACACAAGAGTTCGATTATCATTGATCATCGCTAACTTCTATATAGAGCTGTTCGAAGAAGCCCAACAACCCAATAAGGTAATAATATGTCATAATAAGATGTCATGAGGAATAATGCAGAATTAAGTTTGACAAAAATTGGCCACAAATATCCAATTCCACAAAAATAAGAGAATGTTGCTAATGTTTAGTAGTTCTTGACAGATTTATGCAAAATTTTGCTAAATAATGACACATCTTTACTAAATTTTGACAAATGTTTAATACCTATCAATATATTTTGCACTTTAATATGTCTCAAAAAGATAATGTACCAATTTTAATTCCACTGCAATAATTTTAAAGCTATTAAAATATTTACAATGTTAACTTATGATCTGTTGTAGTGATTTACATGGCGTATCAATATTGAAAACCGCATTAAATTTCTGGCTAAATAACACTGTAATAATTTAACTTTTCTATCTGTCAAATAAAACATTACATTTGAAATAGAAATAATTAGTTAATTCCTAAAAATACAGTGCAAAACAAATAGATAATTGCCAAAAAAAAGATCACAAGTTAATGTTATAATAATTATGTCTTAAAACGGATTGTATTAGTTTCGGAAAAATAAAAAAATTGTTTGATCTTAAATTTTAAATATTTAATATATAAATATTTGACTTAAAAGATTTTGAATTGTCGAAGCGTTTCAAAATAAAATTATTCTTATAATGACTATGTCATTAAACGGAAAGAAGAAGAAGGTTTGACCTATTGCCACAAGCTTAGACTTTGAACTATCTCGACCCCTTCTCAACTCTGTATTTTCAAAAATTATCACAGCGTACATTTATGTAGTGTATTTATTTTATGTATGTAAATATAAATGTATAAAGGAGTTCAGAAATGAACCAAAAATTCTGTTAAACGTTTAAATAAAAAAAAAACTATATTAATAAAACAAGAATTTTTGATGAGTAAATAAATAAAATAAATGTGCTACTTATAAATATTTTAAAATTTATGTAGATAAGAGTTTTAGATAATTATCAACTTGTTTAAAATAAAAAATAATAAATTCTTTATAATCGTTTTGACACTTAACCTTAAAAAAGTGTCAAACAAAATTTCTTTTAATATAATAAAAAATATTAAAACTTTTTTTTCAAGCTTTAAGACGAATCTTATTATCCCCTTATATTTTACATAATCGAGAACTATTCTTCTTTTATAAACATTTATTATGAATAACACGAATTTAATCTATATAAATATAAATACCGCATCGAATAAATCCCAATAAAACATAAAACCTTTCTTGGAATATCTTCAGTTTTATATGTATATCAGAAAAGATGATAATACATAATTTTGATAAAATAGACGCGCGCACGTTTTATTATACGAACGAATAGAGTTGAGTAGAGAGTGATACGAAATCGGTTTTTGAAAATATAGAATGAGTTTTATCTCTTACCGTATGTCCTCTGATAATCTTGTTTCGTCGCCATCATCGGGGTTTTTGCTGTTTGCTGGTTCGATAGTGTGTGTTATCGTGTGGTCGGGTCGGGGCGAAGGCGCACTGTGTGAATCTCCTTCGCGACTCAGAACGGTTTACGGCACCGTCCGTTCCGCACGCGCACAGACTCGTCGTTTAGGAGGCCACCGTAAACGAACCGACAGCAAAGGCAACGTTTTTGCGGGAGGGGGACCCTCCAAACGGTGATCGTTCTGACGATGGAGGCGGTGGTGGGGTTTGTTAACGCCCCATACTCAATTTTTGGCCACATCTTTTCTTCTTTCATTACAACCCCACAAAAATCAACTTTATTCTAATTTAATTCTTAATTAATCTTATGTCAAAAAGAAACGTCAAAAACTAACGTCAAAATGAAATGTCAAAACGGATTATTTTAATGTTACATACTTCACACCGATATTTTTAAACAATTAAAATTTATTTTTAATTAAAATAATTAAATTTTAGAAAAGATTTTATTAAATCACTATAAATGAATTCATTATAGTTTATATTAATTAATTAATTAATTATTTGCTAAAAATAAATTTCATGCATATTACAGATTGTTTTAATTTAATATTAATTAAAAGAAAAGTCACGTAATGAAATTAACGGTAATTTATTGAGATGTTACAGATGTTAAAAACAACAATTTAAGAAAAAACATCAAAACAACTTAAAACACAATTTGAAACAATTCTCGCTAACTTCAGTTAATATCTGAAAAACAAATAACATTTAAAATGCAATTATAAGGAAATTAATTTAACGTGGGAACATATTTAAATATTTTTTGCCATCTTTTAATAAAATAGCTAAATTAAATCGTATTATTTACGAAATCGAAAACTTACGACATTTTTGAGCGCCATCTCGGAAGTAATAGGTGAACTAATCATATAAACCAACAATGTTTTTGATTTAACATTCTTCAACATAACAGATTCTGAATCTAATTAATTATTGTATTATTAATTAAAACACAGTTTACATCTCGTAAAAGCGTTTACACAAATTAGATTTTATATTATAAAAATGTTTACACCTTTTTTTTGACTTCTATGATCCTAAAGGACAAGAAGATAAAAGGATCTTACCAATTTATTACAACTCATCTTTATCAAGACATAACTGGTCCCCGTAATACCATCGTGGTTACTGTACTGGATACCAGATATACATAGTATACCGGAGATGGGCAGAATAGTTAGGAAGAGAACCCATCACACAGCTCATACATTAAAGATTACACACACATTGAGGATTAATCAGCTTCATTTTATGTATTCACTCCCTGTTGTAGAGTTATTTTAGCTAGAAAGACCAGTTCTATGAGCAGCTAACTCCTATATAAAGCTGTTTGAAGAAGCCCAACAAGACATTCTTCAACATAACAGATTCTGAATTTAATAAAAATACTTTTATGAGGGATTGTTTAAAATAAGGGGACTCAATAAAACAATAATATGATATCAAAAATATATTAAAGCACAGTTTTTGAAAAGACTTTTTGGCAATTACATTAATTGATATGAACGAAATTCAATAAAAACGAAGACATTTCAAGACCTGTTTGAAAACATTCGTAATAAAAACAGCCAAATTCGACAGAACAAACAAAATAGTAATGACTTCATTGTATAAGTAGTTCGAGCGTTTAAAATGATATCAATGAGAGACAATTCAATTTAGCGATAAAATCAATAATTTACAACCTATCTTTATAAAAAGAGCAAAGTTACAATAAAATTACGAATAGCAAAATTTATATCATCCTTATATATTAAACCGTTAAACTTAGATATTTACAAATATATATGAATAAAATTTAAAAAGAGAAAAAACTTATAAAATATAAATAAGTGTTACAGACGTTTTAATGCGTTTACCCCTAACGATGACGCTTTCATTTTTCGAGTTGGTTGCACTGACATTGGAGCTTGCGGCGGTGATTCACTTGCGTTTTCTGCATTACCTAATTCCTATACAAAAATCGTTCGTCAAATAAACAAATAGATATATTATTAACTTACACTTATATTATTATAACTTGCAAGTCTCATTTGAGCCAATTGAGACGCTGGTGTTAAATTGGTTGAGCTGCCAAATGGAGACATCATTGAAGAAACCGCCCGTTTTAATTTCGACGGCGTTTTATTAAAAGAAAACGCTCGACCGACTCTTAAACGAGTTTTCGTTGCAAACTTAAAAGCTCTAGATAATGTCCCATGATTTATATCACTTGTATCAATATCTAATTGATGAGGTTCTAAATAAGCCATAAATTTTTCCTACAAAAAAAATTTTATCTCAAAAAAGTCATAAATAAAATGATAATGTCGATAATGTAATGGCGCCTCTTCACTATGGTTTCTTATCATGGACCACTGCGTAGAAGGGTGATGGCCTGAAGTGGCCATAAGTGGTGTATAACGGTCTTTGCGAGCGGTCGGACACCACACATCAAAGGGCGCCATAATGCGCAGCTAATTGCGCGTCCATCATTGCTTAACCATTTCGGTTGTCAACACCACCTGTTACTTACAGTGGTCCATTAGGTCCATCTAGATTATACCACTGTGTGGAAGCAGACATGCTAGCCATCATCAATGGTGGCCATCATGGCGACCATTCTAGTGATCCATTATGAGTAGGGCACGGAACTTTTGTAACAAAACGACACGATTTCCCCCCTCCACTCGTTCTCAGCAGAAAATTTCATACAAAAGTTGTTCTAAATTAAATTCTAAAACAATTTTTTCAATAAAAAATATATAAAAATATATATATAAACATTTTTTTGAGGTNTTGTATCAATATCTAATTGATGAGGTTCTAAATAAGCCATAAATTTTTCCTACAAAAAAATTTTATCTCAAAAAAAGTCATAAATAAAATGATAAAGTCGATAATGTAATGGCCCCTCTTCACTATGACTTATCATGGACCACTGCGTAGAGAGGTGATGGCCTGAAATGACCATAAGTGGTGTATAATGGTGATGGTAATGCCAAAGAATGCCAACACCACCTGTTGCTTAGAGTGGTCCATTAGGTCCATCTAGATTATACCACTGTGTGGAAGCAAACATGCTAGCCATCATCAATGGTGGCCATCATGGCGACCATTCTAGTGATCCATCATGAGTAGGGCACGGAACTTTTGTAACAAAACGACACGATTTCCCCCCTCCACTCGTCCTCAGCAGAAAATTTTATACAAAAGTTGTTCTAAATTAAATTCTAAAACAATTTTTTCAATAAAAAATATATAAAAATATATATACAGGGTGATTCATAAGTAATGGGCCAAATTGTAAATGTACGTTCAGGAGGCCAAAATAATAATATTTTCATTAACAATAATGGGTCTTAGTCTGCTCCTTACTGAGATACAGGATGTTAAAGCGAAAAAAATAAAATAGATTTTTGTTAATAGATCAGCTACTTTTCTACATAATGACTCATAGTTGACTTATAGTTTTTGTAAGGGTAAACAATAATGTGTGAGAGGATTTGAGTTAACTCGTAGATGTCGCCACATGCGCCATATGAATTATGAAACGTCAATGAGCTTTTACGTTTAATGAATAGTTTAAAACATTTTATTGTTAAGTAAACTGATTCATTCTTGTCCTAACATAAATCAAAATGCCGAGACATAATCACTTTTCAAACGAAGAAATGAGAGACATGTTATGCGTTTACGCACAAGAACGTTTTTCTGGGCAAGCAGCATCCAGAAAATATCGTGAAATGTACCCTTACAGAAGGCAGCCAAACCGGAAGATATTTCAAAATATTTATAATCGATTGGGTGAAACAGGTTCATTTCGTCCAAAATATCATACAGGACGTCCTAAGATTATCACTCCGCAGCAAGAAGATGAAATTTTGGTAAGAATTGCGCAAAATTCTGAAATAAGCACTCGTCGATTGTCTGCAGCAACTGGAATAAGCCAACCATCCGTGACTAGAATTTTACACAAGGAAAATTTATATCCCTATCATTTTATACCTGTGCAAAATTTACTTCCAACAGATTATCGAATCAGAGTTCAATTTTGTCAGTGGCTAAAAGGAAAATTGAATAATAATCCAACATTCCTAAATAACATTCTTTTCACGGATGAAGCAACCTTTACCAGACGCGGAGTTTTTAATTGGCGAAATAGTCATGCCTGGGAAACCGAAAACCCTCGTTTAAAAAAAGATAGACATTTCCAGCACGAGTTTAAAATAAATGTGTGGTGCGGTGTAAT